GAGGGAGGGGGGGGGGAATTCGGTATCACGGGTCCCCAAAACGTATATTTCCGTTGAAATCTCGAATTCAATTATCCGCAGCATTACATAACATTGCCTGTACTACGTATATTACACAGTATAATATATATTGACTTATTAAGCAAAATCAGCTCATTTATAATTTCCCGTATAAGGGTGTGAAAGTTATGTTATTTTTTTTTAAAAAACCGCACGCAATATTTTCATTAGTTTCTCGTTGGGTGCTACAGCGTATTGTAAATAAAACGTGGTGCGGTAGAATGGCCCAAACTTACTCGCTCTAGTTTTCTAACCTCTCTAGTCTGAACTAGCCTTTCGGTAAGCCCTTTTCCCTTCGCGGCTGTCTTTTGTCGCTCGAATAACACTTTTTTTCTTCTTCGCGTTTTCTCATTTTGTCAGCTCCGAAATGCTAGAACAAACAATCATGTCTTGAGTAATATGGAAGTGTATAGGTCTTGTTATGGTGGAAATAGCCACCATAGTCTTGTTTTCCTGGATGGCCGAGGTGAAGTGGCGTATTCGGGTTCATCACTTTGAAACCAAGAGGTCGCCGGTTCGAGTCTCACACTGCGATTTTAATTTGATGAGCGTGGTAGAAAACTATAAAGGATCTGAGAAACTTTATTGTAAATCATTGGAGGCATTTCTACTCGCAGATGCAATCCACCCTTAAATAAATAAACAGGACGTGTCAGTACGTGCATTTTGCATGTTTTGTTGGTTCTGATAACGAAAAATCGATTGACGGCAAAACGGCCGTGTCTATCTGTGGTTAGCGCTAGTACCTAAACTTTTCAGCTGCTTTTCTTCAAAATTGACATCCCCTGATTGATCTTAACGCACAGGAGCCTCTGAGAGTTTATAACGGCATCACTGGTTGAAGTTTTTTTTACATGAATCGGGCATTTACCTTGTCATGTTCTCGTTCGATTCATGTGGCGCTCTGTGGCATAGTGGTATGAGTGCCTGCACGTTAACTGTGAGTGTTTGAGTTCGAGACTCGGAGCGGAAAAATAATTTTCTGCTTAAAAGCACTTTTGTTGGTTTATGTAGTATAATGTTGCGGCGCATTCAGAAACAATGCGAGAAAGTAGGTGCTTTGGCAGCTCCACTAGTTTACTTTTTTTTTGCACGTAAACAGACTAAGAGTCTCCCTTTGTCTAGTTTCTCTCCAATTGTCAGTTATCAAATGATATTGAGTTATTGCTTCCTGTATCTTCATTATCTTTAGTTACTTAATCGCTTGATATTGATTAATTTTGCGATTGTGGCTCACAAATCATAGAATGTATTCTAGAGGATTAAAATTTCTAGTGTAACAATAAGCAGATGCAACTCTGTAGTATCAGAATCTAAGAATAATATGCAATTTATACAAACTATACTTAAATTTTAATTTTCAAAAATTATGCAAAAATAGCTTTAAAAAAGTCTTAATATGCTACAAATATACAGTATTAATTAAAAAATGTCCAAACAAGCATTATGCATGAATTTCTTTTGAAAACTATTAAATTGTGAACCGAGAAAGTATGAATTTTTAAAATGAGTACGCTGTGAAAAATATATTTACAAAGTTTGAAAGCTCTACAAAGCGTAAATAAAAACATGCATTGCATGGAAATACTGTCTAGTGATGACTTATACGTGATGATTAGGTGGTGGATTTTAATGAAAAGTAATTTTCTTTCTTTTCACATTAGAACAATGCTTTTTCGTATAGATATTCATTTTATGTTATGACAAAGGGAAATCACCCATTTTTGTATGACTTTTGATTTGCCTAATAAGCCATTTTTTAAAGAATTTTTCCCTGATTTAATCATTTTAATGGCATTTGCTTAAAAAATATTTACGAGATGCAACAAATGTTCTCCATAAAATTCCTGAGTAGCTTATTTGATATCTTCACTTAGAAATTATAATGTAAGGTTTTGTGAGTATGTAATTGAAGGTTCCTTTGACACCCATCAGCACAATTCTCAATTCAGTCGATTTCATGATAACTAGAAATTTCCTGCTAAAGAATAGACCAAACTGAAAGTTTGCAATCTGAGCTCACTTAACGTGAGGAAAAAGCCTTGATTACATCAGTGACAGCTAGAGTTGTTCATGTGAACTGGTTTTGATCAGATTTTTTATGCCATTGTTCTTGCTTTTAGGGCATTTTAAAAACATTTTAAGAGCATTTCATTGATCATTTTTGGTGATGTATGCTATAGATTTTGGCGATGTCTTCAAAATCTAATGATGATGATACTGATTCAAGTGCTTCAAAAATCAGTCTTTTCAACATCAGATTGTGGTGAGAAATAGATGTGACTTCAACATTGCCTCCAGGCTCTCCAAGATTTTCATTTGAAGGAACACCTGTTTTTGTTGAAAATTATTTTTCAGATGTTTTGGAATATATGAATCAATTTTTTGATAATGAATTAGATGAAAATATTGTCAGAAACTATAAGATACACTAAAGATCTACATATTTCTTCAGGAGTCGTCTATTAATTATGTAACACTAAAGAGGGGTAAGGGGATGTTAGTTTAGTGTTATGTAACTGATATATTTTTAATTTTTTTACATCTAGTGAAACTTACTTTTTCTGTCTCTTACTGAAACATTAAAATATTAATTAATTGCATTTTAAAAAACATAAATAAATTTATGTTAATATGTGTAATTTGTTACAATAATGGAAATATTTTTGATATGATATTATGATGATAATAATAATCTTTGTCAGTCATCTCAAATAATTTTGAGTCTCATCAAATATGTTCTCAACAAAGGTTACTGCCTGACAATCAACAATTTTTTCACTTCCCCGGAGCTAGCAGACCTTGTTCTTCAAAGAACTGATATTTATGGCATTTGCTTCCAAAATTTCGCAATAAGAAACTTAGAAAAGGCGAAGTTACTGTTTATCATAGGGGTAAAGTAACTGCGATGACGTGGAAAGATAAGCAAGGAGTCTCTATGTTGAGCACCATCCACAATTCAGAAACGAAAATGGTGCACAAGAGGCAAACAGATAAAGAAGCCAGATACTGTCATATCTTATAATGACACAATGAGAGGAATTAATAGAGTCAATCTGCATTTGGCAGACAAACCTATCACTCACAAAATAGGAAATAAATACTACAAAAAAATTTTTTTTTTATCTCCTTGATTTAGCCTTGTAGAAATTATTTGTGCTGTATAAAACTCTGGGGGCAGAAAGAATTCCCTTGATTTCTGCATTGCAGTCTAGAAAATATATAGAAAAACACTATCCTAATCAGCAAATTCTACTAGCTTTAAAATTTATTACCACTTTGTGTGGAGTGAAAGTCATATTAGAGCCCAGAAATTTGGCAAAATGCTTTTCTGTTGTTACAGTTTCAGGTGTATGGTCCAGAACATAGGATCTAATACTTCAGTAAGGTCAAAAACCATGAGGTCTACAATTTTAAGGTCCAATTTCACAGGTCTTATAGGTATGCACATGAGGTATTAAGTTGTTTATTTCTTAATTGTTGAACGAATTATGATTGAAAACCCATCTCCAAATTACAGTAAAGTCTATTAAGTTTCCAAAGCTGTTCCCATAACAGTTCACTATATGAAATTATAAATTTTTAGTCAAAATGACTGAAATTTACTACATTAAAACATATCAAGTTTCAATAAGTAGACCAAATGTTTATTGTGTTTTCAACATTTAAAAATTAACTGTCTTACATGCAATACTGCAGACGTAACAATCTATAACCATTTCGATTTTAAGAACTTATAACAATAGGAATCGTACACATTATTACTTTCAGGCTTGTTTTAAGAATATTTTAATATGTTAGCTTCTGATAACCTATCATTATGTCATATTTTTGCCTTATGTTGGCCCTTTTCTTTGTTTCTCTTTATTATTTTCCTTTCACCTGGTACTGATCTTAAGTGGAAAGTATATCAGCAAGCCTTGCTAGCATGAGGCACCGTTGAGTTTGTCTTTCAGTGGAGGTTCCTGAAGCAAGATGTGTTAAAAAAGCTAAACGAGAAAGGGAGAGGAACCAGTCAAAGCTTTCATTGATGCCAACAGATCAATTTTCTTTATAGGATCTCAATTAACATACTGCCAGGCCATTCCCATTTTTTCACTTTCAAAGTAGCATAACTTGCACAACAGGAAATATTATCGTTACTAATCTAGTGATACTTCAAAATGCTAACTACAACAAATTACACTTGGGGTCCCACCAAAGTTGATTCTTCATGCAGGAAAGTGGGAAACATGTATTAGACTATATCACGATCTCCAACAAGATCACAGCGTGTGCATTAGAATTAAACACATGGCCCTTGCCTGGTGGGAAAATTTAATCAATTTGATACACATGGCAGTCTTTTAAGGGTTAAAAGAAATAATGCTACTTATGTACAAATGAAAAAAGATGTATTAATTAAATTTGTAATCCTAACTAATGACAAGCAGTAACAATGAAGTACCATGCTCAGGGCTCATTGCGTGTGTTTTAAAAACATATACTAAGACAATTTTATACTAATGATTTG